CTAGCCCCCGTGCCTGGCCCGAGTGGCCCCAGTGCCGGATCAGAGGGCCAGGAAGAGACCCCCCGCCAGGGGAGGCCCCTCGGGGAGGCCGCGCTGCTGGGCAGGGAATGAAGACGGGGAGAAGTTGGAGAAGCGAGCGGAGCCAGAGTCGGGGTGCGGGCGCGGGGTGGGGGAGCCATGTCCCCTCAAGCCCCTGAAAGGCTGGTGCAGAAGAGACGGGGCGGGGGCCAGAGGAGGCAGACAAGAGGCTGAGGTGGGGTGATGGCAGCTCCTGAAATGGGGGCTTGGGGAGGATACACGCAGACCAAGCTGGCTGGAGTCGCAAGACATGGAGGGATGAGTGCTCCCCCAGGGCCTGGGGCCAGGGGACAGGGTGGGGACACAGGTGTCAGGGGGACGGAGGAGGGCTGCTGGGAAGGCAGCCTGGTTGTAGGTCATCAGCGATTCTGACAGAGAAACTTGATTTATAAGAATGAATCCTGCCATGACTTCTGGGCTGGGGAACAAAGAACAGCCCCACTGGCCCCTCACGAGGAGGCGGCCAGACACAAGGCGGCCTGCGCTGCGGGGAAGGACGGGCTCGGGGCCGGGGTCAGCGACACCAGCCCCGCTCTGTGCACGGCCTCACGGCGGAGGAGTGGGGTGTCCACAGGCCGGGACTTTGTTTTCCCTTCACGTCCCCCTTCCTTGCGTTTAATACCGTGGATAACTTTATCAGGAAAAAAAACGACAGCTCTTAAAGAAATGAAAAAAAAAAACTGAGAAGGCCAAGAGTAGGGCAGAGTGACTCCCTGTCCCCCGCTGGGCCCCCCGCCCCCCAATCTCTGGGAGAACCGATGGGGGGGCCCTTTCTGGAGATGAGCGATGGTTCGTGTCTCGGCACCCGTGGTCCCCAAGCCCTGGGGTGACGCCCTCCTCGAGGCTGAAGGCGGGCAAGCACAGTTGCGCCAGCGCCTCCCATCCCCGACTGTGACCCCGAACAGAGAGCGCGGAGGCTGCGGGTGTCCCACAGCCCCGACCACGCTGACAGCGACCTTGAAACCTGCACCGCAAGAACCGCAGGAGCCCCGGGGCCCCCAGGGAAGCAGAGCTGGGGGCGCCAGGCAGGCGGGCCTCCAGGCTCCTTCTGTGCCCCGTCTCACCTCCTCTCAGCCTCCCACATCAGCTCATCTGCTCCTGTGATCCCCGGCAGGCCACCCTGCCGGATGAGGCGAGGGGCCAGAGCCCCTCACGATGTCCCCATTCGGGGCTTCACAGTACACATTTGCATCTTAAAGGCAACCTTCCCCACAGCCTCCCCTGGTGAATTCCCCTTTGTCTCCCCTTAAATACTGAAAAGCACTTAATGCCTCTTATTTACATTTTAAACCCCAAATTGGGCCCTGTGCCCCCTCCCTCCCAGCCCAGGCCAAGGCTGGAGCCAACCTCTCAGTTAAAACACACTCTGGGGAGACAGACCATTCACTGTAGCCCCCCTTCACTTGCCGCCAGCAGCCAGCCCCAGCCAGCTACAAGGGGCTGGTGACCCCAGGGCACCTCTCAGCCACCCAGCCAAGGCTCCCGCCAGGTGGTCAGAAACCCTCCCACATGGAGGCGCCTCAGTTTACCCTGCTGTGCATATACCCCTTTTACAGATGGTAACACTAAGGCCTGCAGAGGCACTGGGGCCCACCCAGAGCCCAGGCAGGTGGGTCACATACGGAGCTCGTGGGAGAGCCAGGGTCCAAGCCAACCCAGGAGCTCCTGCTGACCAGTCAACCTTCCAGCTACTGCACCGATGGGCAGGGTGTGCCCAGGGCTGGGGCTCGCAGGGAGCAAGGCAGACCCAGCTCTGCTCTTTAGGTATAACAGGATCAGATAATGATAAATGCTATGAAGAAAGTAAAGCAGGCTGATGTGACAGGAACCCCGGGGGAGTCTCTGGGCCCCACTGGCCTGGAGGCTGCACTGATGACACATTTGTGGACTCTGAACAAAAGGAGCCAGCCACACTGCAAGTGCAAAGGCCCTGAGGTGGGAGTCCTTGGGGTGTGAGGAACAAAAAGGCCAGTGTGGCTGAGCTCAGGCAGGGGTTCCCTCTGATGCAGGAAAGCAGATGTGGTGCGTGAGAAGGGCTGTGTCTCAGGCTTTGGCTGAGCCCCTGGGACGTGCCCCGCCAAGTGTGGGTCCTTGGCTTTGCGCAGGAAAGAGTTCAAGAGCGAGCCACAGTTCAGTGAAGGTAGATTTATCCAGAGAGATACATTGAAAGGCAAGAGAAAGGCCACAAGGTGTGGAGGTTGGGTGTTCAGATTAAAAGTAGTTACACATTCCATAGAGAGAATGCCGGCCATCTCTGAAAAGGGAGGGGCGGGGCGGCCACGAGGGGCCGTGTTGCTGGGTTTTATGGGCTTGGTGGCTTCATATGCTAATAAGTGGGAAGACCAGTCTAAGGGGAAGGGGCTGGGATTCCCAGGAAGCTGGCCGTTTCCCGTCCTTTGACCTTTTGTGGCCAGCCTTGGGAAGGCCATGGTGCCTGTGGGCGTGTTAATACATTACAGTGAGTGTATAATGAAGCTCAAGATCTGCTGGAAGTGAAATCTCTCATCATCCTGAGCCTCAAGGCCTCCTGGGGGTTGAATCTTCCACCATTTGGATGTTAACTGCTGTGGCATTCCTTGAGTGGCTGTGCCCTGCCCCCTTCCTGTCTCACCTCTGCCGGGTGAGAGGCCTGGACAGGCCAGCGTGGGAGGGCGGCCAGCATGGAGGCCTGGACCGAGGAATCGAGGGGCTGCATGAGGGGGTAGATGGAAGAAGAGATCGGGGAGGAGCCTGTGCTTTCTGGCTAGAATCGTTTGTGGAAGTGTTTGCAAGAGAACACAAAAGAGAACTGTTTAGACATCCCAGAGGAGAGGTAGCAGGCGGCTGGATGCCCGCCTGGGGGTCAGGAGAGAGACAGACACAGGGTCACCGGCGTATGGATGGTATTTGGAGCCCAAGGACTGTCCAGGCTCACCCTGGGAGACAGGACCCACCCAGAGCCTGCACTCCCGGGCGCCATTTGCCCCTGGCCCGACCCTGGGGAAGGGCTGTCTCTCTCTGGCAGGCCCTGGCCAACTCCAGAGGCTCCCTTTTCTGTATTTTGTCATTTTTCCACTGGCCACGTGAGGCCTTCCCCAAGCATGGTTTCCTTAGAGAATGGCAGGGAGTGTACGGTTTGAGAGGCACCCTGAAGGCCAGCAGGACCCCAGTCCTAGAGTCCTAGTGAACTGGACAAAGCCACTAACTGCCCCCAGACCTGTTTCATCATCTGTATAATGAGGCCAGTAGGATGAATCACTGGATCCCTGACAGCTCCCGAAGTGTAGAATGAGTCTTCCTGAGCCCTCATCCACAGGGTCACAGGCAGCCCATCTGTTGGCAAACCACAGAGCCGCGTCTGCTGTGTCCTCCCCTACGGGCTGGGCCACGGTGCCCAGCCTCCATGCGACTGCCCCCTCCTCTCATTACAGCCAGGCCGCCCCCAGGGCGAGAGAGCCATGCCCAGACCCTGCTCTACCGGCTGCCCTCCCTCCCTCACTGATCGGGTGCTGGGCTGCTGGGCTGCTGGCCCCTCCAGGCCACTGTCACTCAGGCCCTGCCCCTTCTGCCCCCTACCCAGAGCGAATCTGCAGATTTTTTAGGGGAAATCTGAAATCTGGACTGCATTTTTATCTGAAATGGCCTGATATTTTTAATCTTGAAACTAATTTAGGTTTTTGTAGAACACTGGGCAAAATGGGCAGTCCAGGCAGAGGGTCTCAGGCGCTGGAAGCTTTCCAGTTGGCTCTGAGGACCAACCTGCTTCCTGGGGGCTGCATGGGACAGACCTGCCTTTCTTTCCTGAAATCGCTCCTCCTCGGCTTCCGCGCCTGGCCTCCCTTTCTCTCTGACCGTCCTTCCTCTGTCTCCAGTGGGGTGGCCGCACTTTTCTGCTGTTCCCACGCCCTCCCTTTCCCTCCGCGGTGACCTGGGGGCTGGAAGAGCCCTCCCCAGTCTACTGCTGCTACCAGTTCCAGATTCACATTTCCAGGGACCTGCTGCCCCCATCGCCAGCCCCCATGGCTAGGCAGGATTCAGTCTGGCATCACCCTGTGCTCTCCTTTTGACCTTCCAGAGACCCCAGCGCCAGCCCCTCCTGGCCAGTCACCTGGTTGCCCTGGGCCAGCTATCTCCAGGAGTGTCCCTGCTCACTCCACCTCCATGCACCCTGGCCCACCCCCGTGGGGCTGCCCTGTCTAACCCCAGCATGCCCTCTGCTCACTCCAGGCTGGTTCTCCTCCAGGGCAGACCCCTTGGGGCACAGCATGGACATCTTGTTGCTTCTCTCTCTCTCTTGCTGCACCTTGGCCTGCACACACCTTGTATTTTCAGAACCCGAGGTCTTTGCTCAAATCATGTGGTCTCTGAAAGCCCCATGTCGCTGCTCCCCAGACCCCCCAGGGCTCAGCCCTCAGAGACCTGTTCCCTGTTAGGAAATTCAGATGGTCTTTGGTCACCTCGGCTGAGTCCCAGGCCCTCCAGGGTCTCCAGGCCCTGCAAAGACACTCCGTGGAGGGCCTTGGCCTTCTCTGCAGGAACAGGGGCCACCATCCATCTCCCCTTGCCTTTGGGGTGTACTCATTGCCCAGGGAGCCAAAGCTCTTCTGTGGCTCCAGGCCCCTGACCCCCTCTCCCCAGAAAACTACCAGCCTCACCTTTCCCGCCTCAATTTCCTCCTCTCCTGGGGCCTCTTCCTGAGCTGGTCTGAGAGCAAAGGGGCAGGGCAAGCACTGCAGGGGCTGAGCCCACACCTGCTGAGAGGCACTGCTGGACGCAGAGCCCCAAAAGCACTTCCCTTTTGTAGACCTCATAGCCTCCAGCTCTCCTCACCCCTGGAGCCCCAATTCCCCAGCCTCCTGTCCACCCACCCCTCCACGCTTGGGCCTCAGGGAACTGTTTACTGTCCGGCCCCGCCCCGCGGGACGCGAGCCTAAATCACTTACCCCAAAGGGAGCCGCCCTCCTCCCGAGCATCTCCCCGTGGTCTCAGGGTCTGGCGCCTCCTCCACACCCTCAGTACTGGACCCAGCGTCAGGGCCACCAGGTTTGCACAAGCCTCCGCGGAGGACTTCGCCTGGTACCCGAGGAGGGGAGCCCATGCTCAGCCGTGTTCCTAAAAAGAGAGGGGGAGGGGTGTGGCCCGGAACTGTGAGCAACTCCCCTCCCCCACCCCTCCGGGACCTCCTTCGGGGGTCCCAGCCTTCCCCTTGCCCACCCTGGGGCCGCCATTTGGTTTTGGGGGCAATGGTGAGGCTCTTTACGCACCACAAAATGCGGCACTTGTAGCATCAGCGGCCACGGCGGCGGCGGAGGCGGGGGAAGGGGGGACGGCTAGGAAATATCCCTGGAGCAGTACCTGCGGTCCTCCCCGCTTCCCCCCGCATTGTGCCGAGGCCCCCGAGGCCTAACAGCCCGGGCGCGCAGCTGGAGGGCGCCGGCATCCGCTCCCCCCTTTGACTCGGAAGGAGACCCCCCTCGAAGACGTCCCAGCTCCCTCCACATTGCCCCGGCCGACCACGTGAGGGCGTGCCCTGTGTTAGTTCGGACAAATTAAAGCGCGTCCAGCGGGCAGGCCCGGGGCCCCCTGGACGCGGTCAGGGCTTGGGAGCCTGTGGCGCTGTCTTGGCTGCCGGCCGCCAAGCTCTAGGTCGTGGGGCCTTTCTCGTGGCCGGCGCTATTC